AAGAACCGATGGGGTCGGCGTGTCCTCGGCGCCCGGGCGCGAGGGCGGCTTTCTCCCGCGACGCCAAGGGCGCGCAGGCTTCCGCGAGGCCGCGTCGAGGGTCGCGACTGTCATGCGACGTGTGGAAGTTCATGTGGACCCTCTGCGGCAGGACGGCGGTGAGCTTGTTTTCTTCGGCGGGCTCCTGCGGGGGGCCCTGCTGGGCGCGGTCTCCAGCCTCTGGAGCTCACCCCTAACAGCTACTATCACGATCAACTGGGCATCGATCTCGCGGCGCATGGGAGCGACTGAGTGGCCGACGCGGAGGGGCGCCAGCTGAGCTATTTTGAGGAGTTGCGTTGCAACGGCATCGGGCTTAAGCTTGCGCGCCGAGTTGGATCTGGAAGGTTAAGCGGGCGCTGTGTTCTGATGCGAGCGATCAGATGGGCGCCCGAGGTCTTCATTCAGTCGGGGGGGTCCCAAGCTCGTTCCCGAGCTGCTGGGTTTGCTGGGCCTCGCGGACTGCAGAGGGCGCCACGGCGCTTGCGATGCAGGGGGCGGGCAGGGATGATCGCGGCGCGCTTGTTGCTGGGGCGCCCATGGGGCGAGGCTGCTGCAGGCGGCGGGGGGGCCTCGAGCAGCGCGTCGCCCTGGGCGGGCCAGACGTCGCCTGCTCAGGCAAGGTCGCGTTTCAGTCTATGGCGAAGCCCGCCAGCTCATGGCCGAGAGAGTCGTCTGGGTCTCGAGGTATCAGAGGCAGCGCCAGCGGTGGGCGCGGCAAGTCGGGCGCGGCAGGGAGTTCGAGCGGTGCGACGCTCTCGCTGGCGAGGACTTCGCGGCGGGGGGGGGCGATGCTCAGATCCGCGAGCGGGGTCGCGGACGCCGCTGGAGGACGCGCTCTTGAGGTCTGCGACAGTGGGCAGTCATTCAGAGCTATGATCGGCGGGCGAGGCCGATTTTTACGCCGTCGCGAAAGGGGCGGCCAGCGCGATGTGCGCGTCGAGGCTGCCGGCCCCGTTCGGGGCGGCGGCGCCGCCCGTGGTGCTCGCGGATGCCGCGGCAGGGGTCGGGGTCGTCTCCAGGAAAGGGCGCCGCAAACCTTAAGCACCTGGAGGCGCGGCGACTCCGGGTGTGGGCGCCGTTTGCAGACTGGGGGCTGCAGCTGGTGAAACATCCATCGGAGACCAATGCGGCGTGCCGGGCGACCGAGTAGCTGGCCGAGGCCCGCGTGGACAAGCTCTTGGCCATCCTGGGGCTGCAGCTTCCTCCTGCGGCCGAGGGCAAGATTGCGGGGGAGCTGGTTGCCCCAGGTGGTGGCGGGGGGCGAGGTCGAGGAGATTGCGGCAGCATAGATCGAGCCATGCCGCGCGCTGAATATGGCCTGGTAGTTCAAGGCCCCCATCCTGGGCCACGCGATGACCGTGCTCGCCATCGGCCTGATCCTTGGGTTGCAGTTCCGATCCCGACGTCGCGCGGCGGAGGGTAAGACCGCGGATGGGGCCAGCGACGGACGGGCAGGAGGCGCGGAAGATCACGATCGCGTTGTTCCTCGAGAGGTGCGCCGTAGCCGCGGTGCAGATGGAGCTCCGGAGCAGAGGCCCGCCAGTGTCTGGGCTCGAGCGGGACATCGTCGAGCGGCTAGGGGCCCAGCGGCGGGCGAGCGCGGGGGCTTTCCAACGCGTCCTGGCATGCCGCTGGAGGCGCGACTGCAGCGCTGACCTGGTCGACCGATGGGCGTGGAGAAGCCGTGTCGGAGTGCCGAGGGGACTTCCATTATGATGGAGCGGCGTTCGGCGTGCCCGCGCTCGTGGACTGTTGACAGTGCTCTCGTCTGCGCGCTGATTGCACATGCTGGGCAATCTCAGCAGTTGGCCGTGGCAAGATCGTGCGGTGCGGGCTTCATTCAGGCTTGGATGAGAGCTGGCCGCGGGGTGCGGCTGTTGCTCTGTTGCGTTTGGGTTCGGTTCGGGTGGTCCCCGCCTTGCGGTTCCCAGGACCCAGATTTGGAAGGGTGCCCGAGGGGCTCCTGGAGGTCCTGGGTGGGTCCCGATGTCGATCCCCAGTTCCCGGGGCTAAGGCTTGAGGAGGCGTGCAGCGACCCACATGTACAAGTATGCAGCACCGTCAGGGATGTCCGACAATGACAGGCGTCATACTTGTTTTTCGGCCCAATAACGCATTCGTGGTAAAATGGTGTCATTCCGCCCGCTGCATTCCTCTCTCCTTACTTCCTTCCTTTATCCCCCCATCTCTTGGCCTTAACTTACATGTGCGTGTTCCTTGTCGCGCCCGCAGGCGTGCTGGTGGGGTGGGCCTGGCGTTTCGCATGGCAGCAGATTCAGCCCATGGCATTGAAACTTGAAATGAACTGCAGTTTCGCAGCTGAGGGCGGGCCCTTTTCAAATTGTAGTGATTCTTTTTGTCGCGCCGCGCGCATTCGTCGTGAAGTGTTGAAACCGTTTCAAACACGGAGGGGAAACGGTCTTCAAAGTGTTGTTCTCGCCGTGGCGCCGCGCACATTCGTCCCAGCATCTTGCAACTGTTTCAAGGCAAGGGGGTGGTTATTTTTCAATAATTGGTTTTCCCTTTCGCGCCGCGCGCGTTCATATGGTTGAGGTTCCAACATGATGTGTTAGCACGACTTTGCAGTCCGCGGTGGTTTAATCCTGGGATTGGTGTTTTAGGATTGCCATGTCGCAACAGTCGCGCTGATCCGCGACGTTGAATTCACAGGAACGGTATTATGGCATGATTGGGGTTCTCAGACGGTTGTCTTCTAATGGGATGCGTCCCGCATTGAAAGTTATTGTGGGGACCCATCAGAAAGGTAATTTGGAAGGAGGGTTGGATGCATGATCGTTGATTGGTGTTGGGTTTGCACTGGTCCTCCTCTTCCTCTTCCTGCTCCCCTTCCCGTCTATCACAATGTAGTGTGCGTTTCGCGTTGTACGTTGTCCAGACTCAGATTCCAGCGATCACGGCGTCACCCACCTGGTCTGAGATCGGTCCGGACGGTTGCCCGCAGCGTTCGTTCGTTCGGCTCCTCTCCGCGCCCCCTCCTCTCCCCATCCCTTGCGGGATTCGATGCGCGCCTGCGTGCGCCCGTGGTCGGACTTTCGAGCTCACCGTTCCCCCGGCAGCGCGGCTTGAAGCTTGCGCGTCGATCTGCCCGTTGGGGCGCGGTTCCCCCGGTCGGGCCACCTGCCGCCCACCCTTCCGTAACTTCCGTGGGCCGCCACAGGCCCCCGGCCGCAGGAGGGGAGCGAGCAACGGCGCCGCGGCCATTCCCCTGAACGGGGCAGCCAATCCTCAGAGGAGGAAAAGGTGGAGGAGGAGATGGAGGAGCAGGAGGAGGAGGAGGAGGAGGAGGAGCATGAGGAGGGCGAGGAGGAGGAGGAGGAGGAGGAGGAGGAGGGAGGAGGACGAGGGGGAGGAGGAGGAGGAGGACGAGGAGGAGGAGGAGGAGGAGGAGGAGGAGGAGGAGGAGGAGGAGGAGGAGGAGGAGGAGGAGGAGGAGGGGAGGAGGAGGAGGAGGGGGGGGGGAGGAGGACGAGGGGAGGAGGAGGAGGACGAGGAGGAGGAGGAGGAGGAGGAGGAGGGGGAGGAGGAGGAGGAGGAGGATGAGGAGGAGAAAGATGAAGAGGAGGAGGAGAAAGATGAAGAGGAGGAGGAGGAGCCGATACCGCTGACCTTGCCCCGCTCCTGCCTTTAGGGCCTCCTGGGAGGCCCCCTCGTCGCTACCGCTGGGCTCGTCTCGAAACTCTTGTCAGAACGCACCTCGGGAGAGGCCCACAACATAGCAGTGTACCAGTTCGTTCCCCAAGATCCTTTGGTTGACCCGGGTTTGGAAGCCGCCTGGGGCAGATTCCTTCGGTAGCAAATCATGGGAGTCTGGTACACCCTCTTAATTCTGTCTTCAGCGTCGATTGGCGTCGATCAGCGTCTGGGAGTGGATGAGATAGCGCCGATTTAGCGTCGGCTAGCGTCGATTAGCGTCGATTTCAGCGTCGATTGAGCGTCGATCAGCGTCGATTTAGCGTCGACCAGCGTCGATTCGCAAGAGCCGGCAAGTTGGTACGGCAGGCTCACACCATGAGTTGCTACCGAAGGGTTTCGGAGCTACGAAGCGGCCGGCCAGGCTTCGGGACGGCCCTGGCCGACCCGGGTCTGTGCTGATCCAGGTTGGTGCGTCCCCAATCACCAGTTTCTCCTCCTTCTCCTCCCGGAAGTCGTGCTGTCGAGCAGTAGAGGTAACTGCCGCAGCGGGACTCCGTGCTCAGGCCTTCCAGGAAAGGCGAACGATGGTCAGTGAGAAAACTGTTGGAGGCCTCGCGCGGTTCGCGATAGTAGTATCGTCGAGTCCACTCGTCGGTTCCGTAAGATATTGGACGTCGGTCACGCGACGATGCTCCTGAGTATGTCCGACGTGAATCACACGTTACTCCGACGTACATGCGATGTGAACCCGACGTGGGTCCGACGTGCTGGGTCTCAAGGTGCGGCGCGAGGCCTCCAGCATGTTCCCCATTTGGTTGAAGGGGCAGTGTCCCCAGGCCAACGGCATCTTCCCCAGCTTTTGCTCCCTCAGTGAACTCACTGCCCCACCTTTCGGCCGGACGAAAGGCTAGGACATGGAAAGGTGCGGTTACGAAGTCTTCTGCGTGCAGCTGGCTTCCGCCTTGCCGCTGGAACTACATCTCCATACGTGGGCGCCTCTCGGTGCCAGGAGGCGCCAGGAAAACCAGCTCCGCGTGCTGATTCTCTACCCTGCCCTCAGCTATCCTACACTCTCGTTCTCCCCGAATCTTCCCCCCCCTCCTCGGCCACGCGCAGAGGGGAGTGGGGGTAGGGGGGAGGGCTTCTTAGAAGCACCCCTGCTTCTTAGAAGGCGCGGGCCTTCTCTATCGATGTGAGGCTGGCGTCTTCTAAGGAGCAGCCTCCCTCTAAGAAGCCCTCTCCCCTTCCTCCGCCCCCCTTGTGCGCGCCGCCAACCTCCGTCCGCTGCGTGTCCCAGCCCCGAGGCCGACGACGGGCAGTTCCGGCACGCCTCCCTCTGAGGCGGAGGCCCGGAATCCGGCGCGTGCCTCGGGCGTTTCTGCACTGGGGGGGGGGCGATACTTTGGGGGGGGGGGTGCGGACCTCTTAGAACAAAGTACGGCACGAGCTCAGAGAAGCAAGGGGTCGAATTTCCCATACGGGCTGCAAGCACGAGGGCCGCTAGATACCATGGAATTCCTGGAACGCGTCCTGAACCAAACAGAATTTCCCGGAGTTCCGCTCGGACTTCTGAGATCGGCGCTGGGCCCCCCTGGCAGCGCCTCTAGCGCCGCCCCTGGCGCGCTCCGCGGGGGTCCAACGCAGATCCAAGAAGTCCGCGAGGAGCTCCAGAAGTTTGTATATTTGTGCCGTTCCTGTGCCTTCCTAGGGCCGAGTGCTGCAGGAGAAGGGGGTCCCACAGGGGCCCAGAAAATGGCCCCCCTGGGGCCCCGAGGGCGCAGGAGAGGCGCACCTCTCTTGTAGTGGAGGCCCACGCCAAGAAACACCCTGCTTGCCTCCAGGGTGCCCAGGGTTCCTTGGGTTTCGATGGTTTTGCTATGGAAAGCGTGACGTTCCCACACCAAAAATAGATGGGCGTCCTGAGGTCTCAGGGTTGGGTTTCTTGTGAAAGGTTTCTTGTGGACTGGCCTCCACTGTACCGCCCCCCCGTGTGTCGCCCCCCATCAAGCAAGTCCCGAGTGCTGGTGGCGACGGGCGTGAACTGTTTCAGGCTCGGCGAAGTGGGCGCCATTGCCCCCTTGTATGCTCGCAGACGGAAAAGCGGCACAACCATAATTTTTTGGCGCTCCGCGCGGATTTCTTGGATCCGCGCTGGCCCCTGCGGCGCGCCCCTGGCGCGGAGCGCGCCAGGGAGGGGGGTCCAGCGCAGATACAAGAAATCTGCGCGGAGCGCCAAACCATTATGCTCATGGTGTTTTTGTCTGCTTCTGTATACGGCAGGCTCGTGGCTCGTGTCGTGTCGACGGGGCGGCGACCCCAGCGTGCGCGTTTGAGGTGGAGCGCCGCTAAGTGGCCAGGACTCGGCCGATGCCGCGCGGTCGGCGCCATCGTACAGTCGGGCACGTCCCTCCTCTACAGGAGGAGTTTCCAGGAGTAGTAAAAAATCGTCAGTGGACGATTCTTCGAACATTCTTCGACCACTGTCGGGTATTTGCGACATTTGGTGCCACGATCAGTGCCTGCCGTACAATGCATACATCGTGCAGTCTCCTGGGCGACCAGAGTCAGGGGTAGCGATAGAGGGGGATACGCATAGGGGGGGCGGGCATCGACCCCCAATCGCCGCGGGTCCAAAGGGTTGCGAAGGTCGGGTAGGGTGGTTTGGCGAAATCTTCTGCCTCCGCCCAGTTGCACCAGGCGTCTTCTCGGAAGCGTGCGCGCGCGCGCGCGCCCGGCGCCATTGCAGAGAAGCTACGCGTGGCTTTGTTCACCCAAGCCTCCTTTGCTGGCCCTTCGGGGGGCGTCAACTACTCGCGACCACTAGCGCACCCTACCCTGCAGGTTCCTTCGACGCGTGGGTATTGACCACACCCTGCTGTGGGGTTAATTTGGCTGCAAGCATCATTCAAGTTCTGCTGTGGGGCTCATTTGGTTTTTTAGAACTCTGATCTGCAGGGGGTAGGGCTCACGCGAGTGGTTGCCCGAGCTGTCCGCCTCGCCGATCCTGGCTTCGGGCCTCGGGTCCGTGCATGCGCCCTCCTGGCCCGTCCAAGAAGGCATACACATGTTTATATGCATTTATATATGTATATATGCATGCAGGTAGGTAGGTAGGCAGGCATGTAGGTAGACAGGGAGGTATATAGGTAGGTAGGTATGTAGGTATGTAGGTAGGTTGGTGTACGTATATATGTACCTATACGACCACCCTTCGGGTGATAAGGAGGTTCGGGGGGGGGGAACCAACTTCTCACTCGATCGGTCTCACTATCGATCACACTATCGATCTCACTATCGGTCTCGCTCGATCGATCTCACTCGATCGATCTCACAATCGATCTCACTCGATCTATTTCATTCGATCGATCCCACAATCGATCTGACTATCGATCTCACAATCGATCTCACTATCGATCTCACTATCGATATCATAATCGGTCTCACATTCGGTCTCACTATCGATCTCATGATCGATATCACAACCAACGTCATCTCACAATCGATCTCACACTTCGGTCACTCAATTCGATCACAATCAATCTCACAACCAACGTCATCATCATCAACATCATCGTCATCAACATCATCAACATCATCATCATCGGGGCACCATCATCATCATCGACTCATCACCTCATCACCTCATCACCATCATCATCAACATCATCATCATCATCATCATCACCAGCATCATCATCATCGGGACATCATCATCGTCATCATCATCATCGTCAACTTCATCGTCATCGGGACACCATCATGATCATCATCGGACCACCATCATCATCATCATCAGCATCATCATCATCACCATCGTCATGAAAACATCATCAACATCATCATCGTCATCGAGACACCATCATCATCATCATCAGCAGCAGCAGTATCATCATCACCATCACCATCATCATCATCATCATCATCATCATCATCATTGGGACACTATCATCGTCGTCACCATCATCATCATCTCCACCATTATCATCATCATCATCGTCATCATCATCATCGGGACACCATTATCATCAGCAGCATCATCATCATCATCGGGTCACCATCATCAAACTCATCATCATCACAACATCATCCTCATCATCAGCATCATAATCATCATCGGGACACCATCATCGTCATCATCATCAACATCATCATCATCGGGACACCATCATCATCATCATCATCACGATCATCATCATTAACAACATCATCGCCATCATCATCGGGACACCATCATCATCGTCTTCAGCATCATCATCTCATGACCTCACATCATCAACATCATCATGATCATCAACATCATCATTATCGGGACACCATCATGATCATCGGCAACATCATCATCATCATCAGCATTGGGACACCATCATCATCACCACCACCATCATCATCATCAACATCAACATCGTCAACATCATCATCATCATCATCATCATCATCATCACCATCATCATCATCATCATCATCATCATCATCATCGGGACACCATCATCATCACCACCATCACCATCATCATCATCAAACATTATCGACGTCATCACCATCATCATCATCATCATTATTATTATTATTATTATTATAATTATTCTTATTATTATTAATATTATCAGTATCATCGGGGCACCGACGGGACACCGACGGGACACCGGCGGGACACTGGCCGGACACCGCGGGCCACCGGCCCCTAGAAAGGAAACATTTGGTCCGGCCGCGCATCAGCCAGAGGCGGGACACCGGCGGGACATTGCGGGCCACCGGCCCCCGGAAAGGAATCATTTGGTCCGGCCGCGCCTCAGCCAGAGGAGGTGGGCGATCGGCATTTGCAAAGAACATGCTCACTGGGAAGGTTTGCGGAGGTCCTTACACGCACCCAATAGGTTAGTTCCCAAAGAGATTCTCAAGGCCGTTGCTTGCTTTTCCTGAGGTGTTGTGGCCCCGAACTGAAAACAAACATAAACCGCAGAAACCCCAAACCACCATCCTAAACTGTTTTTTTCTGGTGTTCCTTAGGTTTTTTGGTTCCGAGCTGGAGAAACCCGAAAATAAAGGAAAACCCTAATTACTCCGACGGAAGAACCCCGCATAAGAATCCTCTGGGCGAATCTGGAAAAAAACCATCACCGTCGTCCTCGTGGTTGGTGAGGCGTCCTGGCTGTCTCTTCTGCGTATATTTCCTCTCGCCTTGGCGCGGGCCCCCCTTCCACTCCTTACGTTGTCCCCATCCTCGCCCCCCTGTTTGTTCCGCGCCCCGCCACCTCCTCCCCTTCCTGTTGCATGAGCGCGCATGTCGATGTTCCTCGGCGCCGTCGCCGCCACGGCCAGCACAGGCGCGTTCTCTACTGGTCACGTCGCGCAGCCGTTGGGACAACCCCGCGGGCCAGGCTGTCGGGACAACCCCGCGAGCCGTTGGCGCGCAAGACCAAGCCGTTGGGACAACCCCGCGGGCTTCGAGCGAGGCGCAGCCGCGCTCAGGCGGAAGGCAGCACGAAGCCCAGCTCTGCCGCTCTGGCTGCCGCGAGCTGCCCGGCGAGGAACGGGGCGCCGCCGTGCGCCCGGCGGCGGCGGCGGCGGCGCAGCATGGGCAGCCCCATCCGCAGCAGCAGCGTGAGCGGGTCTTGCCGCCTACCGCGGCGTCGCACCGGGGCCCCGGGTCACTGCCGACTGCGCTCGGTGCGCCAGCGGCTGCCTCCCAATTCGCCTCGCCGCCCCCGCCGCAGAGACTCGCCGCCGCGGCCGCAGTGGCCGAGGCGGGCCCGACGCACATCGCCGCCAAGCGCGCCCCTGCCGCGGAGCTGCCGCAGCGGGTCGCCTGCGCGGCGTCGCCCTTCGCCGAGTCGGCTGCGCCTGGGCCGCCAGTGGCTGCTCCCAAGGCCGCCCCGCCGCCCGCGTCGCCGGGGCTCGCCGGTGCGCCTGCCGCGGAGCCGCCGCAGAGGGCCGCCCGCGAGGCGCCGCCCTTCGCCGCGTCGGCTGCACCTCGGTCGCCGGTGGCTGCTCCCAAGCCCGCCCCGCCGCTCGTGTCGCCAGGGCTCGCCGCTGCGTCCGCCGTGGCCGGAGAGGATGTACCGAAGAGGGCGAGGCTCGCTGAGCCGCCGCCGAACCTCGATTTCGACACGCCTCCGGTATCTCCAACGCCTGCCCCGATGCTGTCTGAGGCGTCGCGCCGGCGCATTGCCCACGTGTCAAAGGTCTACTTGCACGGCCTCGAGGTCACCGACAGGTCGATGCCCTTGCCGGACCGACAGAGCACCGATGCATGGAAGCCCGGCGTGGCCCCCCACGCCATCCAGAGGCAAGACTTCTCTGCAGCTGCTCACCTGCTGCGCGTTTTCCTGGCCGAGTTCAA